AATAACACCAGAAAATACAGCTGCTTGGGCATGAACAGTGTACCCAGTTTTCAGAAGGAGGGCTTCAATGAAATCCCAATGGCGTGCTTATTCTTTTCACAGCTCCTTTAACAAAAAGAGAATGTCAATGCGTAGGTTTATGATACACTAGGATTGTCAGCATAAGGAGGTAGTTTCTTTCCATGAATATTGTGGGTTCAGAATTAGGGACAGAACTGGAACGTAACCCTGGGAGACACTTCACTCCTTCCTCCACATCCTCATGACTGACCACACCCCCTGCACCTAAAGATCCTGCTGACATCCATGCCTGTCTAATTGCTGTGGGAAGTGAAGAGAGAAATCCTCTGTGTCTCCCCTTTCCTGGCCTTCATAGTAATATAAAAGCCTTTGGCCCTTATGTGGGAAAGGTGAAGAAATATAGCTGCCCTTCCCTGCCAGATTCCTTCCCTCTAAAGCTCTCTGCACTGCATTCTCCCCACGACTGTTAACCATAGTCATTTCTCAGGGGGACTGTGGAGGCACATGCAAGATTTCAGGCAGATTGGTTTGATTTTGTGCAATTATGAAGGGAGGAGGAAGTCAAAATATGTTTTGTAGGCCTTGATGCTGCAGTCCTTATGTACCATGCAGTATGAAGTTCAAGGTTATTGTGTTTCAGTGCGAGCGCAGTGCAAATGAAACAGAGGCACAAGTAAGGTCGAGGGCTATGCATAGTCATCCACACTGAAAGGCAATAAATATCAAGCACCCAGCACCAAAAATAAGGATGAAATTAGTAATACAGTAGGTATGTCTGAGGAGAGTGGTTTAAGTGTGAACTTTATTATGAGGCACTGATTTTTATTAGTAGAAGTAATAGTATTTGTATTGTGGCATTGCCTAGTTGCTCCTTGGATCAGGGCCTCCTTGTGCTGGGCACTGTCCACACAACAAAAATGCAGACCCTTGCCCCTAGCCATGTGTTTCCCTCCTAGGTCTCAATTGCTGCAGGGAGTGACTTGGCAGCCATTCAGCAGCTTTCTAGTGCAGAGTGAGAATCACGTTTGCTCCCTTTTTACAGTTTGCTTATGCGTGCCACACTCTGCACCTGCACAGTGTGAGGTCTAGTCCGTTTCTGGAAGCTAGCTTCAACCTTACGTACATAACCTAATGTCTATACATGATGTATTTCCTTTCTCCATAGTGCTTTGCAGTACTTTCAGTTTTTCTCTATTCAAGCCCTAAGAAATTGTTAAACAGAAGATCCTAATATTAGTAAGTTAATGTTTTAGATATGGGCTGCCTTAATTTTCCTCTGTATAAATTGGTTTTAGAAATCAACCTTAATTATTTCTGCAGTTGATCATCAGCACTTTGGAGAGCTGATTTCACCCGGTATTCCTGTATAAGACAGTTGGAAGTTTTCTACCGTAACAAAACAATGTCAGTGAAGCAGCCAGATGTATAAACAGTGGATCATGGTTCAAGTTCATGTTATTGCTTTAGAGATGCAACCAGAACCTCAGAACCAAACACCCCCGATCTTTGGGAAAGCTTAATTCCATGCGTGGCAGCTCAGACCCCTCTCAGTTATACATACTTGTTTTGCAACTGAAAATACATGAAATAAGACTTACTTTGCAAAAAAGTTATCCACACATTGGTAGGAATACATTGTGTCCACTTTGGTACTAAATTGCCAGGGTGAGAGGAAGGGAGCAATTAATGTTAATTGTTCTGCTTATTATTGTCATATCAATGGCCAGTTATACTGCTGATGATGTTGAAGGTTCCCTAAGAGTCTAATTCTTTTCTTTAAGACGAAGGAATGCAGGAATTTCTGGCTATTTGTTTGCTGTCAGTAAAATTTCACCTGTATTTTTGACAGGTTTCAGAGTAACAGCCGTGTTAGTCTGTATTCGCAAAAAGAAAAGGAGTACTTGTGGCACCTTAGAGACTAACCAATTTATTTGAGCATGAGCTTTCGTGAGCTACAGCTCACTTCATCAGATGCATACCGTGGAAACTGTAGCAGACTTTATATATACACAGAGAATATGAAACAATACCTCCTCCCACCCCACTGTCCTGCTGGTAATAGCTTATCTAAAGTGATCATCAGGTGGGCCATTTCCAACACAAATCCAGGTTTTCTCACCCTCCACCCCCCCGCACAAATTCACTCTCCTGCTGGTGCTAGCCCATCCAAAGTGACAACTCTTTACATAATCAAGTCGGGCCAACTTGATTATGTAAAGAGTTGTCACTTTGGATGGGCTAGCACCAGCAGGAGAGTGAATTTGTGCGGGGGGGGTGGAGGGTGAGAAAACCTGGATTTGTGCTGGAAATGGCCCACCTGATGATCACTTTAGATAAGCTATTACCAGCAGGACAGTGGGGTGGGAGGAGGTATTGTTTCATATTCTCTGTGTATATATAAAGTCTGCTGCAGTTTCCACGGTATGCATCTGATGAAGTGAGCTGTAGCTCACGAAAGCTCATGCTCAAATAAACTGGTTAGTCTCTAAGGTGCCACAAGTACTCCTTTTCTTTTTACCTGTATTTTTGTTGCTTTTGTTTTTCATCTCATAGCACTAGCTAGGGATGCCATGTAAACATCCAGTGTCAGTAAATATGTAGCCGTTTTCTCCTTTTCTTCAATTTTGATTAGAACAAGCAACATTTTGGTGTACTTTTTAATTAAAAACTGCTTTGATTAAAAGCTTTTTCTTTTCTTTTCGGCTTGGATCTAAAGAGTTTGTTCTAGTGAGGCACAAGATCAAAGGATTTTTTGTTTTTATTCATTTATATTACAGTGAAAATTAAACCTTTTCTTTTTACCAAAGACAAAGCAAACAAAAATATATGTAACAGGAGCTACCAAAGAACATATGCATTTATTAAGTATTTTTGTGCCTTAACAACCAACACAAACACCTGGAGGGTAGAAGACGAAGAGAAATGAGAATTAGGCAACCTGTCTGTGAATGTAATGTAACTCCTACAGTTTTTGCTACAGACTGTGCTATGAAATAATATTCTGTTATATGAAGTAGATTGCTCTCCAGAGTCCCTAATATGTTAGCCTCGAATATGGGGGATTTATTCCAACCAGCAAATGGACATTGGAAAATAAAAATACAATTGGCAACAAACTGCCCCAACAAAGGGGGCTTTACTCCTTGCTGAGTAGTTCATTCCTGTATCTCAGCTAATTGCTTTTATTGTACTGAATAACTAATGTTTAGCCACAAGCAACTACTACAGCAATAGAGAAATAAATATGCAGTTTTGTAGAATTCAGCCCCCACTACCTGTTTACTTTTTCACATAAAATACAATTAGGTTCTGCAAATAGAAAAATGCAGTTCAGTATACTTAAGTGGCTTGAAAAACCATCATTTTAATACAAGTTTCTTATATTCCACTGCTGCTTAAGAGGACTTGTTTACACAGTGCGTTAGTTTGCACAAGAGGGATTTAAATTCTAGTGAGCATTGGCGTGTTGCACACTAACTGGCCTGTCTGGACACTGCTGGTGCACACTAAAAGTTCCCTAATGTGCATTAATATAGTACGCAGGACTACATTAATGGTCACTAGGGGAACTTTTAGTGTGCACAAGCAGTGTCCATGCAGGTCAGGTTGTGCACAACATGTTCAGATCAGGTGGTGCACTGGAGTTTACACTGCTCTAGTGCAGTCTAACACAACATGGAGACAAGCCCAGAGCTAAAATTTCTACTTTGACAATTTACTAACACAGTATGCTATAAGAGGCTTCACTTGATTCATATACTATGATGAAATGTGACCTCTTTGAAGACTTGGCATCCTGGAATCACCTTATATGCATAGATCACTGGAGGCAAGACTTTCCAAAAATCCAACAGAAAGGGCATACACATAACTCAGACTTCTTGCAAGGAGTCCTTTTAGGCTCTAAACAGAGATGCAAACTGAGGTGGGATTTTATGGTGGAAAGGGCAGAAGCAAGTAAAAGTAAGTAGGTTTCTTGTAAAATTTAAAATAAATTATTCTAAATACTCCTTTGGATTACAGTAGTGTATTTATAACAGAATAACAATCAATTCAGGATATCTGTTTGTGCTGGCAAAGGACCTTTTAAGGATGCAGTGGGGAAGGCAGCATATCTTTGGACTTCTGTGTCATTCAGGACTGCAACTGGAGGGAGAACAGAACTTCTCTCAAGTGTGGTGACTGGGGCAGAACTCACCAAGACTGAGAGAGCCTGCCAATTTAGTAGTTATGTCTTAGTGAGAAGTCAGTAAACTTTTTTTGATAATTAAGGCTCTGATTCTGGAGGGCATTTAACTGCATGTTTAACTTTAAACACCCTGACTCTAATAGGACTATTCATGTGCTTAAAGTTAAACACTATCGTAAGTGTTCTGTTGAACTGGTGGCCATTAAAGTATATTGTGAATGTTTGTTCGTGTTACCTGTTGGTGCATTCCCTGATTTGATAAGTTGGCTCTTTTTCCTAGAACATACTTGACATCGTTGTTCATACGTATTTTTGATGAATTTACATGTCCTTACTCTCATGGGTTTTTGGTGAATGGCTGGATTTGAACTTTTTTTTTTTTTTAAAGAACTCTATGACAAAATTAAGATGATCTTATTTGTGCTTATATATACTTTGTATTAGTTACATTTTATATATTTATCCTATGTCAGTTTCTACCGCAAGATAAATACACAAACATTATTGCAGCCTGTACATGTTCATATTTTATGTGGTTTTTTTCCGGCATGGCATGAGTCATAGATCAAATTCACCCCAATGTAAGCTGTTGTAGCTCCTTGAAATAAATAGGGTTGTATGTGCTTTATACCAGCTGTGAACTTAGCTGGGAAAGTCTGGCATTGTAATAAGGATGACCGCCTGTTCCACACACAAACAAAAAAGAATAATGGCTAGATCCATAATAATAATTTCAGATACTTTTTTTGCCACATTGCTTCTGGCCCTAATGAATCGTTTGTTTTCACAGAGTCACTGGAGGTGAACTGTTTGAGGATATAGTTGCAAGGGAATATTACAGTGAAGCAGATGCCAGGTAAGTGCTTGATTTCTAAAATGTTGTTTATTGCTAGATTTTAACAATTACCTTTAATTATGCTAGCATATTTACTTATTTTGATGTTTACTTATGGTGTTTGGCATCAGTTAGAACAGAGCAATTCAGCCTTCATCTATAGTTCCCATCAAGGCTTTGTTAGATTTGAAAGATAGACAGACATGGTCTAGTGGCTTGAGCTCAGTTTGGGTGATGGTAAATTTCACATTGCCTTCAATAGAACCGTGATTTCACCCCTGTTATCATAACAAGATTCTGACACTCACTGTGTCCTTAGTAAAGATACTTTCTGCCTCAATTTTCCCATCTGTAGAATGGAAATAATACTTCAATGTGACATAAAGCTTCTAATACACATTAATTTTGGAAAGCTCTACATATTTAATATTATGAGTGTTCTGAATCCAAAAAACTTTTCATTCCTTTGAGATACATTTTTTCCCCATTAACAAACAGTAGTAGTGACTGCATGTCTCTGTCAGTGCTCAAACTGTGGAGCTGCAGTTATTAGCTGTAACTGCAACTGCTTATTGAAAAAAGAGAAGAAAAGGCTGAATCTTAACATGATTCTTTAGAGATAGGGGCATCCAGGGTACCATAGCCTTTCCCCAATTCAGTGTTCTGCTGACCTCGTGACGTTTCCAAATCTGCAAACACTCTGGTCCATTAGGTTCCCTAATGCACCTCTTCATATTTGTCCCATTGCTAACTTTGTAGGAAAACTCCTTTTAAAATAAATTTAACGAGATATTTTGCTTCTGTATATTTATAATATCCAAATCACATAGAGATGCCATGTAGTAATATAACATTCAATCAGTCCTTTACAATGGTAAGGGTTGTTCTTTTAAACCACAGTCACTTTATGTAAAACACATTTTTGGGAGAGTTTAAAATAACAGCGCAAATATTCTGTCCTTTAAATTTCATTTAGCAGACGGAGAGAAAACATTAGCAGTGTCCCAAGTGTGTATAACAAGTAGTAATGGGATGATGGTGAGCAAAGGAAAATCTGGGCAGGATGTTAGGAAACTTCCTGACACTGAAATTGATTAGACTGAAAAATAATCTCCTAAGGAAACCTGATCGCTCAGGACATTTAAAACTAAGCTGGACAAAACATGCTGCAGAGGAGAAAATTGGATTAGCAGTTGTGGAGGGCTGACTGAATAATTTTTGCATACTCTAATTTCTTTAGTTCTGTGGAAACAGTCACATTTTCTAATGCTGATGCCAAATGCCACAAAGTGGTTATGCTTTTTTTTAAAGAAAAGAAAAACTGAGGTGATTATTCTGGTTTAAAAGTTATTATCTGATGCAAAGGGGTGCATACAAATATATACTGTATTAAACAAGTGGAGTGTTTAGAAATATTATGCTTCTATGTATATGTTTGTGTGTGTCCTTAGAAATAGCTAATGAGCTTTATAGATGCATGATCTATAATAAAAATAGGTCTTGTTCCTGCAAACCCTTACCTAAGTAGTCCTTATTCATGCAAGCAGTTTGTTTAATGTCAAGAGGACTACTTAAGTGAGTTAATGACTACTCATGTAAGAAAGGGTTTTCAGAACTGGGCTCTACTTACTGATTTATGACTGTCCCTAACTACTGAATTTCATGGCAAAAACATTTAATATGATCAGCATCAAATCCATGGCCCTTTGACAAGTACAGTACATATAGTCCCAGATTTTCGACCCAATGAGAAGTAAAAATGAGCCCTTCTCATTGGCTATAACAGTGCTAAAAATGTCTGAAAATCATTCCATTGCTGTAGAAAACCAAAGTTTTCCGCTGTGTTTTTTGGCACTATAGATTGGCCAAAAATTTTAAATTGCATGTATAAAAAAACATGCTGCTAATTCCATATTTTAAGCACCTAAATAAAAGTGGCCTGATTTTTCAGTGGTAATTATTTCAATGCGAACTATGGGTTCTCAGCATTTAGTTATACACTTACGCATTTAGAAACCTATATTCATACACCCGTGTTTGAAGATTTTGGTTCAGGACCTTTAATGCTGATTTCCATTTTACACGGGGCTACTAACCAAATTATTGTTGTCACTGCTGTTTTAAATGAAAATGTATACTTCCTTATTGAAACATTTACATTTATTTTCCCATTAATACTTTCTACAAGAAACCATTATATTCAAAATGATAAATGTTTTGTTTTTTCTTGTTTATTTTTTTAAATTCTTTACTCTTGTTTCTTCTGTATCTTTTCATTTTTGTTCATTTCCTTATTTCAACACTTGTGTGTTAATATTGATGTCAGAATATAAACTTTCTCAGAAAGTACATCAGAAACCATTTAAGGATTTCACTGCCCTCCCAAATTTTTTCTGTTTTTTTTAAGATTTGTTATGTTCTTTAAAAATCTCCATGCTGCTGAATGAAAACACTACACAAATTGTTCTGTCTGATGATATCACACTTTAGATGCTAAATGTTTTTTTTGTTTGTTTGTTTTTTTTATTTTTGTTTGTTTTAGATCTGGAAATATTTTTATATTCAGCATTGTTTTGTTCCAGTTCCATGTGCAATTAAGATTTGTCAGGAAATGTAACTCTGTTTTTGTTCCTTATATTTTTTTTAATTTTATTTTATTTTGCATTTGATGTGATTATGTGCCTTTAAAATGTTCTCCCTTCCATTCTGCCCTTGTATCTTTGCAGTCATTGTATACAGCAGATTCTAGAAAGTGTTAATCATTGTCACCTAAATGGCATAGTTCACAGAGACCTGAAGGTCAGTATCTGGTGCCCATAAATTGGATAAGAGTTTTTTTTACTTTGAAAGGGCAGAGGGTGGGTTGGCTGAGATGTTCCCTTGCTTATCCTCCTCACCCTCAAAATGACTAATTGAATAAATAATGCATGAACCTCTTTCCAGTTTGCAAGTCTACAGGCCTAACATACATCATGGCAAAAGGGGAAGTAATTACTTTAAGATTGAAACCTGTAAGCTTCCAAGGTGTTGGATTTATCCCACCTAGTTGAACGTGGTTGGTATGATACATATATTTTGGAAGGAATTTCATTAATCATTCTGTATGCATCTGGAGTTGCACTTTGGCTGTGATGTATGTCAGCCTGCAGATTTAAACACCACTTCTGTTCTGAGACCATGGGTTGCAGTAGCAGAACAACTGGTCACACATTGCTCCATTAGAGTATGACGAACTCTCAGGCAAGAGATGATTGTCAACTAAATTAAAACATGAGAAGTTAATAATTTATCTAAAATACATTACTTATAGTAATTTTACCTTAATGGCTGCTATGATTTTTAATGCAACAGAGAGCTCTCAGGAAGTAAGGGAGGAAAAGGAACAAATGCCACTAAATATTTAACATAACTTTTTAAAAAATGATGTTATCAACACATTTTCAGTATCAGTACTTGTTGCATTTTTAAAATACAGTAATCTCCGAAATAGCATATCCCCATTAACAGGACTTCTCCATTAAATCAAGTGGAGTCCACGTTGACCTTCCTTCTTCCAAATGCCAAGTACAGATCAAAATGGGTTAAAATAAGGTAAAGCCTTCACCTGGCATGGTATTTCTGAGATAGTAGCTGCTCTGTGTGAGTGATGTGTGTACATTTCTGAAGGTTGTGTAAAAACATCTTCAGTTGTTTGCTAGTTTTGCACTTTAACCCAGTCTCGCTGAGGGTATACAGACAGTGAGTGTAAGCTTGGAACTAACACACGCCCCCTGGTGTTTGCATGCAGTCATTGCATTCAGCAGATCCTGGAGGCTGTGCTACACTGTCATCAGATGGGAGTAGTCCATCGGGACTTGAAGGTGAGTAATACAGTTGGAGCAGATCTCACACCACACAGCTCCTACTTACTGTTCAGCTGCAGATGTGCATGTAAAGGCAGAAGAAATGAGCATGTCTTTTTGCATAAACTTGCTTGTAGACTTTACCGAACTGGAATAGCTAACCTAATTGAACAAATTGTTGCTGTTTAATAGAATTTCAATTTAAAAAGCAATTATGGTTACCAAACTTGTCCAGTGAAACTGTAAATATTTTCCTTTCCCGCCTCAGTGGCAAAAATAGGAGTGAACCTCTAAAATCCTCTCAACCTACTAAGGGATTGTCATTATCTATACATCTGTTAGTAACGGAGAAGAAAAGGAAAAAAGTTATTTTTCAAGTATTTGAGCACGTAATGTAATTACATAAACAGTATGCCACTCTGTCGTCCCAGAGCTGTCTGGGGTTGTGGGGGGGGCAGCAGAGGTAACATGAATATGACTTTCAAACCATTTTTAGAAAGAGCTGCCTGAGAAGCATATTAATACATGCAGGCCACATGGCCTAGTGGTAAATGGCCATCCTGAGATCGCTGCTACCAAGGCCTACCCTTTTCTATTTCCTGTTGTGGCTGATGACTGTGCTACAGGCCACCTTTGTTTAAAGCTGGAATTGCTGCAGTTTTCTGACCAGAAAGTTCTTTAAGGTTAGAGTTCTTCCCAGAGTGGTGGTACTATTTAGAATAGAATTTTGGAAAAGAAGTTCCCTTTGCTAAGAGGAATATTACCCGTCTTAACTACATATATTTCCAAATGACTGGAGATAACTGCTACATCAAATTCCTCTCACATCTGGTGCAAGTTTGAGATGGAACTAAAGAGGTTGAAGTTTCTGCTCCTGGATGGCTCATAGATATGTCTACACTGCAGTTAAAAACCCATGGCTGGCTTATGCCATCTAACTCAGATTGACTGGGCTCGGGCTAAGGGGCTGTTTAATTGCAGTGTAGACACTTGGCTGGAGCCCAGGTTCTAGGACCCTACACGATGGGATGGTCCCAGAGCTCAGGCTATAGCCCAAGCCAAAATGTCTACCCTGCAATTAAACAGCCACACAGCCCAAGCCCTGCAAGCCTCAGTCAGTTCGTACAGGCCAGCCGCAAGTGTCTAGTTGCAATGTAGACATACTCTTAGAGACAAGCTAGATTGTCTGTCTATAAAAACACAGGTACTAACTTTCTCATTCTTCATACAAAAGAAGAGAAAAACTAAACTCAGACAACACTCAGTCTCCAAGATCCTAGATGCAGTTAGTCTGTTTATATAGAAGGCTAATGGAAACTATCTGAATAATGGGTTCCCCTTGAAAAGGAAATAAAAAGGTGGCATCCTTATAGCCGAAGGCAGTTGTAGGTCTCACCCAATCCTTCATTTGAGTACACTCACTCTCTGTCTCTGTTTTCCCCGTACTGCCAACTGCCTTTCTCTTTGATCAAGGAATTTTATTATAAGGAGGTGGAATTTCCTTTCCAGATTGAGATTTTTCATCACCAATGATAGAACCAGTATCAAAATGTTGTCTTCCCTCTCCTCGTCTCTGACCCCCAGCGAAGAGCTGTATAGTTACTTTATTTTATTTATAGATTTCCTTAATGTTACACTAGATAAATCTAAGGAGTTGTAATGCAGGAAAACACGAATCAGAAAACCTAGGGGACGTGGTGGATTCCGAAAGCATAGTCAGCATCCTCCATTTTGCTCTTATGGAGCTCCATATTTCATATTTTGGACAACATTACAATGCCAAGTCTCTGTCCAGTCTACAAATCCTTCTCAGCAGCTGGATAACACATGTCTCAGTCAGCACCAGCTTTAAATGAAAGGATATGAAATTTGACCAGCTGCTTTAAAGATGCCTGTTCACACTGTATATACTGTACAATCCACTGTTAAAGAAACTGTTGTGTAGCTATATATACTGAGAGGATAAGGAATGGTTTGGTGTACCGTTCATATAAAGTGACATTTTCTTAGAGATGCATGAAAAAAGAATGATCCCTTATGTAACCCAACTGTGCTCTCTCCACCCCAGCCCACTTGTGGATTTTTTTTTATTTTGGCAAATCCTGAATGAATTGGAAGCAGTAGAGAGACTTTGTTCCTATCACCCATTAGTGCTTAATTTTGAAATAATTTCATTTTCAAGATGAAAACTTGAGGAAACTGAAAATCAGCCCCCTACTGCCCTCATGGAAGTGACACAGAGAAGGGAATATGTTCCAGGGCCATATTGAGTTTTCTACAACTCTCTCCACACAAGGATCTCGTGAAACTCCAGCAAGGAAGCCTGGAGAGGCTACTTAGAACTGTAGGAGGCCAGGCAACTAGGAGGGATGGTCTTGGCCTTGTGAGGGTTTGGAAGTATCTTTTCCTCAAACCCTATCCATATCCTGACAGCATACTTGCAAAATGTCCTTTCCCATTTGGTGTGAGAGGGATGATCTAGCTTCATTTTAGGGAAGTATATATATATATATTTCTAGCTCTTTTTTAATGCAGTTGAGCAGCTAGAAATGAAGACGTGATCTGGCACTATATGACCACCAGGAAGTCTCCATGGAACACTGTTTGGGAACCTTGGTGTATTGGAATGGATCTAGAACCCAATCCAGAAAAAACTGTCTCATAGGATTTTTAAAATTGCTGGTAAAAACACTTACTAATGGCTGTCTTCTTTCACATAGTTCACAGAACTCTTGCATGTAGAAATTTCAAGATCTAAGTTACATTGGCTCTGGCAATCAGCGGCCATGTTTCTCTTGAGAATCTAAGGTGATTAACAACCCCCACAGACTCCCATTGTGAAAAAAATATTCGAGATCAGGCTCCAGATATATTAAACCCCACACAAAACCTTTATGAATAAAGACATTTCCACACACAAGCCATAAACTCAGCTCTGTGTTAATTTATTTACAAGTAACTTTTAAAATCATCACTGCTTTTCTACATGCATGACTGCAGCCAGACTTTCTTCGTGCAGAGTGCAACTTTTTGATCCAGACTGATTTGTTAGTTTCATGGATGATACACAAGATTATGCTGTAAAATCTCCCAGTTCCTCTCCAGTTATGCATATATGCCTTAGTCATTTGAAGTTCATGCATGATAAATATCTAGTGTGTTTCTTGTTATTCTGAACTGGCAGGTGCATGTTCTTTAAGGACATAGTCCCACACTATACTGCCTGGAAGGCTGTTGCTCTTATCATAGGAGTAAATGTGCTCCTTTTTTTATTGAAACATACTTATTATCTTATGACAATGGTATTTGCTTACAGTACTTTAATCCCATTTAATAGGGAGATTACAGATTTCTAATTGTATAAAAAGGGGGGGGGAAGAGTTATACCATTTCACAATGTGATCCCATTCAAAATAGGGTATGTGCTTCATGAATTAGGACTTGTGTGTCAACTGGTAGTGCATGAAATTTCACTGTGTTGGATTGTTGACGATCACAAACAAATAGGACCATCAATTGCCTTAAGTTGTTTACTGCAAATTTCTCTCTGTTTGATTGAAAATCTCTAAGAATGTTAGCTATACATTGAAATAGGTATGAGGAAATAACAGACAATGTGACATTGTTTATATTAATATTTATAAAACATGTCAAAGTTAAAGAAACATTTAACATTATTTTTTAAATATTGGGGGTACTGTGATTTAAATAGATGGAAATAATTCAAGTGAAAAATAGATTACATTTTATTCTGGGAAACCTTAATCTTTATTTTAAATAAATGTATTGACTGAATCTCGTATATGTCACAGTTTTTAACATAATAATTGGTAAGATTTAGCATATATGGGGCGAACGTTTAGATGACTTTCTCATATTTCTTTTGGAAGTTAACTGTTTCCATAACAAATGCCAGAGGGTGGGTGGTAACTCTGCTGAAGAGCTCCAGTTATATTATAGTTTTCATTATTACTAGACCAGTTTTCATATAATCCCCATCCCTTGTTTTCAGTGCTTAGTAATTGCTTAAAAATGACTAATTCCTTTGGGACTGAATTTCCATGTTTGGTCTCAACCCAACGTTGATTTTTTGCCGGGGATAGAGAGAAGATGAGAAGTCAAGGAAGTTTCATTCAACCATTTTTAAATTCAGTGAGGGTGAAAAAATACTTTTTGATTAAACCTTTTTAGATACAGCTACCGCAAAAATAGCAAGAAGAAAAAGAAAAATACCTGTTGGTGTAAATAACATTCAATGAATAGGTAGTTCTTTGCTAGGTTTTTGGTTCATAAAAGTTGTGTGTGACAGGAAAATAATAAACTTCTGAACAAGATTTTAGAAGAACCTTGTTAGAAGCCATTGTTATTTATCATCATAATAATCACTGCAATGCCTAAAGGCCCTATTCACATTATGGTCCTTTTGTGCTAGGCACTGTACAGCCATATACTAAAAGACAGCCTCTCCCAAAAAGCTTACAGCCTTAGGCCCTGATCTCGCAAACATTATTAACCTTGAGCATGTGTATAGTCCAGCTGAAGCCGATGAAGGTGCTCACATGCTTAAAATAAAGCTCACATTGAAGACTTGGCAGCATTGGGGCCTCACTTTAAGACAAGATGTAATGATTTGGTGTACTGTTTTTAACATCCCTACACAAGAAATGCTTCAGGTAATTAGTGGGATACATTTGTAGGAGGGAGATTGTAATTAAAGCCAACATAGGGCATGTCCTCTCTTTTTTTTAAAGAAAATGTATTAATGTCAGGGGGAAAAAGAAAATGTCAGGGGAAGAATATTGGGTCCTACAGTTAGTGTCTCTGCTATATTTTTTCTGAATTCTACAATATTCTGCAAATTCTAACAAAACTTAACTTTGCTCTAGCAGCCTTATCTCTGCAAAGATTGATGTCTTGTATATTCTAAGGGGTGTGTTTAACAGCATACACAGGCGCATTTTAAACTAAACACACTATTTGGAATGCTAACTTTTGCATTTCCTTAGCGTCTGTTTTAAATATGTAAAGTTAATGTTGCATTTGAATTCATATTAGAAACAAATCCAAGTACCTTACTTACAAAATACCTCATCAAAATACTTCAACCATTCTTTTCCGGTTTCTTCTGAAACTCATAAGCATGCATTAATAGTGTTCTGTCTAAATGAATGATCATTTCCAATAGTAGTAGATATACCCATACAAAAAGAAAGACTCTCACATTCAGTGTACAGCAATTGTTCAAAACCATTTATTTGGTTAAAAATAGTCATTTCTTGCTGTTTCCTAGAATCTAACTTGTAATTGAAAAGTGATGACAAATAGCAACAACAATAACAGTAGCTATTATTACTATCCTTGCCGTTGCTATTTTTGGTAACACAGACCATGCGAGGCACTGTGCAAACACAGAAGGTACAGTTCCCATGCTGAAGAGATTGCACTATATAATCTATTTAATATCCATTCTCTAAATATATATATATAAAAATCATGACTCTTACTGTTATTGCTGTATGACGCAAAGCACATTTATGATGTTGCAGCGAGTAATATACTGATCCTGCAAAAATTCTGCATGCAGATCAGACCCAACCTATATTTTCCCCAGCAGCATTTTTGTAGGTAAATTGTGATTGCCAGCTTTGTGTCACAAAGGCAGATGCCAAACACAAAGTTTGATCACACAGATCCCCATAATCTCTTCAGTAGGTCTACACATCTCTTTTCGTCTTGCTATCATGCAGGATTGGGAAGGCCATTTGCAGGCCAGGTGGTCCTTTAGAATGAATGAAAGACATAGGTTTCTGTAATATTCAAGGGGAAATGCATGGTTTGTTTTCTTCACTCTATAAATAGTTTTGTACTTTTCAGTATTGCCGATCATTGAATACTGGACTGGAAAATGTAACTGTTGAAAAAAGTTACTTACGATGTGTTCTCATCTCATTTCCCCTCTCTCCCCCTTTCCTCTTTGCTCTCTCTCTGAATAAAGCCTGAGAATTTACTTTTAGCTAGCAAATCCAAGGGAGCAGCTGTAAAATTGGCAGACTTCGGATTGGCTATAGAAGTTCAAGGAGAACAACAGGCTTGGTTTGGTAAGTGAACCTTCTTCTATTTTTTGTTTCTTTAACCTCACATTTCTGCCCATCCTCCCAACCCTTCCTGTTCCCACCCTAATAATAATAATGGACAATCATACATAGTAGAGTTGAATATGTGGTGGTTGGCTGTTTTGTTTGTACTGTAATTCAGTTTCTACATCTTACTTCACTTTGGGCTTCTTCCTGCACAGTGTTGAGCATCCTGAATTCTTAATTACCTCGGCAGAGTCTGGGGAGCTCAGCATCTTGCTAAAAACTCAGTAGGTAAAATTTTTAAAAGCACTTATGTGGCATAGGAGCCTAAGTCCCATTTGCAGACATCACTTAGGGACTAAGAAACCTAAGTCCCATTGACTTTCAGTAGGAGGCACAAAGATATATCGAAGGGTGGAGTCAAATGCATCGATTATGACTTCAAAAAGAGAAATTTCTTACTTTAAGTCATCTCCTAAATCCTTCCCCCCCCAACCCCCCCCCGAAGGAAGATATACACTGTCAGATTGTATCCTCTAGATCATGCAAGAAGGGGTCAGGCAGAGCTCTTTACACACATTCTGAGATCCACGGTAAGGGTAGTAGGTGGACACACAGTGTGCGAGGGGAGTAGGATCACTAGGGATGGGGGACATGCATTGTCCCCTTCATGCTTCAGAAAAGATAATACAGCCCCCAGATAACTAATCAATCAGTTCATCCAGGCCTGATTTAATGTAGAAAACATCTGCAGATTGCAAATTCATTATTGTCATTACCTGAAGGTCAAAATAAATAAAAGCGAGAAAAAGAGTTTATTCTCAGTTTTTAAAAAAATACTAAGGTATGTATGAATAAGGTGTTTTTAACTCAACATATGTCAAGCATAAAGCAAAAATAATTAGGACTCCAAAGGAACAATATAGCACAAAATGGTTGTTGCAGATACCATTCACATGTACAGTAGCTGGAAAACTATGTTTAAAAATTAAGTAAAAAACCTGGACTTTGCTGTCAGAGTAACAGAACAAAAGCAGTAGGTTAGCTATGCTGAGTGTCTGAAGAGTTGGGTGCATATGTACACATTTGTGCATAACAGTGTCCTTATTAACTAGTCCAGTGTTTTAAATCCCACTCTGTTTTATAGTGGATTTCCAAAATCCAGAAGACACAGAGTTGCATTGGGGACCTAAATATCACCACTGCATATAACTGGTCAAGCCAGCACAACAGGACTTGATCAAAAATAATACAGAATGAAGTTGTGTATTAATGGCAAAAACAACTGGCAAATCAGGAAAAAAAAATAATCAGGGGGAGTTTTAATCCTGAGATATTTTAAATGGTATTTCAGTAATAGGGTGAATTCAGAAGAGTGCCCAGGATTTTGCTGTTCCTGTGGGTCTCTATAAAAATAAATTCTGCACTTGATCCTATGGAGCTGTGATGCATTTAAAGTAAATGTTTTGGGCTACAAGTAATTCAGCGGGGGCTGACGCAAAAAACTTTTAAGAAGGGTATAATGTAAGAAATTCTGTACATTGCTGCGTAGGTTAGTGAAAAATGAACATTATTATATAATTTAAAAATGGAACCAAAGCGGTAAGTGTCCAAGGCCTCTGGTGCCAAGGCAGTAAGAATAGGATAGGCCCAGTATTACCCTTTAATCAAACAACACTGTGGTGCTGTTGAAATTAGGGAAGGACAAAGTGGTTCTGAATTACAAAAAGAACCAATTCAAACCTTCATCCAGCTGTTAAAAACTTCCCCATCTTGGTAAAGGAAGTGTGGGGGAGTTGTAGGGAAGATCACAAGGAGAGGGAAGAGAGTGTGAATGGATTTGTTTTCAAATATCTTTGGTATGGATTCAGCTGTTAGCAGTGGAATGAGGAAAGCAGCATGTTGTAACAAAGCAATTTTTATTTGTTTTTCTATTTGGAGATGAAGGGTTCTGTGCCTGTTTTGTAATTTTTTTTCCCCATCCCTTTCTAATAATGTTTTAAATCCCCTCTTTTTCCACCTACAAAGCCCTTGCGTAGTATATAATTTGGGCTTAATTTTCCATTGACTTTCATGGAGTTACTTTTGACTTACACCGCTATGAGTTCAGAGTTAGGCCCTAGTCTGCTACTTTATACTGGTAAAAGTCCAAAGCCCATGATGCAAGGAGGGTTTGTTCAGGTTTTTGCAAGGAACATGCATGGATCATGCCTGATTAAATGCAGTGTTGAATATTTGTGCATGATGTATGAGCCTTTGAAGAAGCAACTCCTTCTGATGCATGTCAAGTGCCATTCTTCCTATAGGGTATGTCTACGCTGCAATCGAAAGTGGGGGGACTGATTACAGCTCAGATAAGCATACCCATGCCAGCTTTAATTTAGTGAACATGACTAAAAATAGCAGTGAAGTTGCAGCAGCATATGTCTCAGTGTGGGCTAGCAATGCAAGTAGGTACCCAAGGTTCTGGGCAGGCTTGTACTAGACTAGACTAGAAGCTGAAGCCTGTGCTGTTGTAACATCACTGCATTTTAGCCATGCTAGGTTGATTAAAGCTAGCACGGGTGCGTCTATCTAAGCTACAGTCACATCTTTGGTTTTACTGTAGATCTACCCATAGCTAGCCCTACAATGAAGAACTTGAACTTGCAGGGCCCTGCATAGTAATAGTATGTTGAACTTTCTCTCTCTCCCAATTTCCAGTGGAACTTTTGTTATCTGGTGGATTTTCCAGCACTTAGTGACTCACAAATACTACTTATAGCTCTGAACCCATCAGGATCTTTTTCTGTGTATTGTGAGGGACAAATTCTCTCCTGGCAGAGTTGCACTGAAGTCAGTAGATTTATGCCAGCAGAGAATATGGTCCAGAATATATTATATCCTATTTGGAGAATGCAAGATATTTTCCTGTTTTGCACATTTGTTAATCAAATAAGCTTCATTTCTGTGTAGCTGTTTGTAAAAAGCTTGGCAACGTTTTCCCAAAACACCCCACCCAGTTAGCAGGTGTTTAATCTACTGGAAACCCATCAAGTGGGCTCTGCTGACTCACTGAAGCAGGTGACTCATTACCCCACATTAAAGTCCATGGAAAGATCCTGTTAACTCATTGGGAGCTGGATTGAGCCCTAGTTGCACCTTGTCTTAAATTTAGGGTTACCATATTTCAGGTTCCCCAAAAGAGGACACTGCTGTGGAGGGAGGGGAAGGGGGCACAGTGTGGGGGCGGGGAGGATGCTGGAAAGATTACCACCTGAGGCTCTAGGCACATAGACACTATTCAGTTAAATGGTCTTAACTGGTCTTTGTAGGCTCAATTGCATCTTTTTTCAATTATAGATAGATTAAAATATTCTAGCCAAGTTTGCATAATACAGTAACAGTCACCAAATCAATATTCTGGTCATTCAGGTAGTCTTATAGGCAATAGTACTTCATGGCCATTGGCGAACAGGACAGTTTCCATTAAAACTGTGTTTTAGAAAAAGTCTGAGATTATTCATCTGTCAGTGTACCAGCATTCATTCATTCTAGTCATCAATTACTTTCATTTTTACATAATGCTTGGCATGTTTTGGTGTCTTCCATGCCTCCATTTTGTGTTTCTCCTAAGAGGAAAACAACATTGTCTAGTATTTAAAGAATGAGGAGGAACTTGTAAATTCCATGAGCCAAATTCACTAGAGTTTGGACCAGCTTTTACCTGGAACATCCCCAGGGGACACAGGTGTGGTAGTAGAAAACTCCCACAATGTCACTTATATCAGAGGTGGCCTGTAAAGAGCTGGCACAATCTGAAAAATGAATGGCAGTGTTTGGAAAGAGGCTGCAGCCTGATTTGATTTCTACTATGAGCAACTGGCACTATGATGCTCCGGTGGGAGCAAAAACTTCTACTCCCCTCAGCTCAATTTCCAAAGGAGGGCAGTGATAGTACCACAACCTGGCATTAACTGGGATGAATCCCCAGTTTGGGAGAAAGGGTTTGGATAACATTTTGTAATATACACTGGTCTACACTAGTTTTCTAATTCTGGCCCTACTTATTGCTTGTACATTGAGAAAACTTTCCATGGGATCCAGCTGCATTTTATTCATGGAGTATTTTCACTTTTTTAATATGAACATGAGACTGTAGCTTTACTCTTACTGTATTCTGTTTGGACAATAAGTGCACTTGATACCACTGAAGTATAAAATATGTGATAACATTTGTAACAAATTTACGTGGATGTCAGTCTGACAATCCACAGAATGGATAGATGGCTGAATTAAAGGATCCACAGGAGATGATTTGTGATTCCTAGATGAGCTCTACTGACATAATTTCTATAGTTTAGGGCTTATCTTATGCTAACTCTGATCAGTCTAATAACAAACAACCAGCAAAAATGTTCATATGATCAGGTACACCTTCTTTTTCCTCTCTGTAAGACACTCACGGGCTAGGTACGTCACTTAGGGCAGGTCTTCACTACCTGTCGGATTGGCGGGTAGTGATCGATCTGTCGGGGATCGATTTATCAAGTCTTGTCTAGACGCGATAAATGGATCCCCGAACACGCTCCCCATCAGCTCCGGAACTCCAGCTCACGAGAGGCGGAAGCGGAGTTGACGGGGAGTGGCAGCTGTCAACTCGCCGCCATCCTCACGGCCAGGTAAGTCGACCTAAGATACGCTGACTTCAACTATGCTATTTGTGTAGCTGAAGTTGCGTATCTTAGGTTGACATCTCCCTCCCTCTCCCCCAGCGTAGACCAGGGCTTAGGCGCTGACCTGGATAAAATAGAAAAGATACTGCATTTACTGGGAGATGGACAGGAAGATATAGTAGAATTTTCCCCTCTGTAACTTTTATGACTCTGTGACACCAAATAAATGCACTGCTTGTCATTGCTGGAGGCCTACAATAGATTTACTGTAGTACATAAATCATGAGAGTGTCTGCACTGAATCTCCCACTCTTGCTCTTTCATCAGTGTAGCTCCACCAGTAGTAACAACAATTGGATTGCAGATGTAGGCAGATGTCCAATGTTATTTTTACTGTCATACCTCTACACTGGACATGGTGGTGTCCTGTCTACACCAATACTCCCATTGTCACTACTACCTGATGAGCTGAGCTACAGGTGTCCCAAAGGTAGGAGATTTTAAAACTAAATAGCTAATATAGACACAGTCTGCAGAAGAGGGTGTTATTTAAGAAATTCTTTGTTATACTGTATATTCAGTTATGGAGAACACAACTGTTCTCATGACTGACTGGCTAACTCTCTCATCATGCTTTCTGACAGGTTTTGCTGGTACACCAGGATATCTTTCACCAGAAGTGCTACGAAAAGATCCTTATGGGAAGCCAGTGGACATGTGGGCATGTGGTAAGAAACAATTTTGAAGAATTGTATTTAGCCCACTACATTGTGATCTGTCCGTTAGGAGCCTCTGTTTCATGTATTTCAGAGTTAATTTTAAATGTTTCCTTATCTCATATTTACCTTTTCAGTAGTTGTTTATTTGAATAGTAGTTATTATTTGAATGTTACAGTTAAGCAAGTGTGCTGTCAGAGCACTCTTGACCCTGTCTACACTACAGGTGTAACAGTGTCCTAGAACCTAGCAACAACACAATTTTTCCTTAACATGGTTACAAACATGGTTCCAGTTTGTGTTATAGACTGGGCCTTAATTATATTTCATTACCCGGCTAAATACCAATCTCTCTCCATTGCTTTAGCTGCCCAGTTAAAATGTTTGAATTGCCCTGAAATCATATTTGTAACCAGGTTAAGGGACAACCATTTTGTAATCTGGTTCTTTAACAGGTACTATTTGTAGCATAGACAGATTGATTAGGCCATATCTGTGAATGCACTTGCGTCTTGTAGTTATCCCAAAACCACGGCCGAATAAATGACAAATCAGATAGGCTTGTCCATGGTAGACTCTTTTCTTAAAATTTTCCATCATCTTTACCATCAGTACACTAATGAGAGCACTTACATTAGCAGGCTGGTTTTAATCTCTGTGCTGTCTAAGACTGTTCCGAGTAGGACTAGAGGAGATATCCCTGTCTGTCTCTAGAGCTAACTAGACATTTCCAATGTGCCCATCCCCATAGTATCTAGGCACCATTTCCAGGCACATAGTCTTCACCTGCACTCCCCATAATTTCTTCCAGGGTGTCATCATGTGAACTCTACAGCTGCCTCAGAGCATTGTCAGGATGTTTATTTTCCAACATGTGGAAGATTTCTATTCAGCTGTACTACCAAATAAGTCATTTGCCTTATTTGTTTGTTCCTGTTTTGTGCAGCCTTGAGGCATGATTCAGTTCATGTTCACTGCGGCTAGTTTACATGAATGGCTTAATTAGTGCTACTTTGGACTTCCTCCAGGTGTCATTCTCTATATTCTCCTTGTGGGATACCCTCCTTTCTGGGATGAAGACCAGCACAGACTCTATCAGCAGATCAAGGCTGGTGCTTATGACGTATGTATTATGAGCTACTCTTATAATTGTTTTTAATTCGAGCTTTCAGTATGAGTTTGCTAGACTAAGAAGGGAGTGAAAACTAAGGAGGAATTAGTTCCTAAATATTTCTGTTCTTATCAGCATTTTTATGATCCACTCTCTTTATATGAGTAAACATCTCTTTGGCCTGTACAATATATAATATATACCATTATGCAGTATATTTCTATCTGCCTGTTTAAACAGTACCTATATTTCTACTACTGTGTACCTTTGCCCACAATCCTACAACTGTTGCTTTTTAGGGATGGTATTGAGAGAGCACAAGGTTTTTCTTTCTGCTGGTTATTGTTACTGATTTTACATTTCAGTTAGATTAGTTACAGAGTATCACAGCTGTGATCTCAGTTGATTCACTTATAAGTTTGCATATGTGTGTCTGGCTGGGACAAATGTGTGCAAAAGGAGCCTTACAAATACGAATACCTCCTACAGTATGTTTACAGTAAAGTCTGAGTCTGGTAGTTACATAAGTCTAAAATCCTTTATGAATGATGGTTACTTTTGCTTTGTTCAGATCTTCAGTAGTATTTCTAAATTGACAAAACTTTAAATTCTTCAGTGTACCACTGGTACCAACCTAAATAACTTTTTCCTGTGCATTATCTTTCATAAAGTTGTAGCCTGCCTAAATAGGCATAACAGTAGCGTTATAGAGCCCAGTTCTGCAAACACTTATGTGGGAATAGTCCCCATTGACTGTCAGTGCCCAGCAGTGAACGTTGGAAGGATTAGAGTAGTAGTTCAGAAGTGTTATAGATTTTATAGTATAGTACATTTATTTTAGACACAGTGAAATTGGAGTCTATTGGTGCTCAACTGATAAGCAATTTAAAGACTGAATGACTCAAAAAATTGTAAGGCATACAGAGCTTTCTATCTTTTAAGCCATTCATGTAAGCCTTGTAGTGGAAATGAGTTTATGGTCTCAGTCTTGTTCTTAGTGGTCAAGCGCCCATATTGCAAAACATACCATTCCAGTTGGCACTGCAGTCACAGCTGAGAAGGCAGTGATTAAATACATATGGAGACTGGACTGATCTTCCATAGAGGTGGTCCCTGCAGAAGAAGGTAGCACTCTCACTCTCCCTAGGTACCTGCTCTCTGGATCAGCAGTGACTCGAGCGCTATTAGATTCATAGACTTTAAGGCCGGAAGGGACCATCATGATCATCTAGTCTGACCTCCTGCACATTGCAGGCCAAAGAACCTCAACCACCCACTTCTGCAGTAGACCCCTAACCTCTGGTTGAGTTACTGAAGTCCTCAAATCATGTTTTAAAGACTTCAAGTTATAGAGAATCCACCATTTATACTAGTTTAAAACTACAAGCGACCCGTGCCCCATTCTCAATTTCCACAAGCTCTAAATTCATTAATTTATAAAGTGAAAAACACAAGTTGCTTATGGCTGTGTTTCAGGAAAGCACTTGAGCACACACTTAAGTCCCATTCCAATGGGACTTAAGCACAAGCTTAAATGTTTTGCTGATCAGGGATGGGCTTTAGTACCTGATAAAGTGGTTTCATAAATCAGAGTTTAAACATTAAGATGTCATATACACTGTTTAACATTCAAGAAGACAAATAAGTCTATATGATAATTTTGTTTATTATTTTTATTGCCGTACTGTATTAGGCAGTGTACAAACACACAGAAAAGCACACTCCCTGATCTGAATTTCTTAGCCAACTGTATTCCCCTTGAATTTGTAATTTCATCCTCTAAGTGTCAGTTTGCATCATGTTGCACCACAAAATAAGTTAATATCTGAAACAAGCCTGTTAGAAGTCATCAAAACAATAAAGAAGAAAAAACATGTTTACATAAAAAGTTGTTTGAAATTATTTTCTTTATAACAGGCTTCTTTAGTCTTCGAATTTTTAAGCTGTGTTATCCATTCATGTGACATACTGTGTGTGTGTGTGTGTGTGTGTGTATACACACATATAGAGAGAGAATTACATATATATTTTTCCTTAAGTTTCCCTCACCAGAGTGGGATACAGTGACTCCTGAAGCCAAAGACCTCATCAATAAAATGCTTACCATCAACCCTGCCAAACGAATCACAGCATCAGAGGCACTGAAGCATCCATGGATATGTGTAAGTAGTTTCCACTTGCATGCCTAAAAAATTGTACATGCAAAATAGTTGATAGCATTCTCCAAAATCTAGTGCACAAATTCAGAAGGTTAATGATTATTTTTTTCCTTCCTTAGAGCTGTTTCATTGCAATGTAGTTAAATAGAGGAGATAAAACTGTAATTATCTAGACTCTGTGAATCTAGAAATAATTACCGTAACTGAGGTTCCAGCCTAAGAAACTGCCCTGTGCAGGCAGACCTGTGTGCCCAGGCAGAGCAGAGACTTCACTGGGGCTCTTGAGTGGATACAGACATCCACTTGCACTGAGAATGGAGGATCATGGCCTTTAATGACAGGTTTCAGAGTAGCAGCCATGTTAGTCTGTATTCACAAAAAGAAAAGGAGTACTTGTGGCACCTTAGAGACTAACAAATTTATTTGAGCATAAGCTTTCTTGAGCTTTCATGCGATGAAGTGAGCTGTAGCTCACGAAAGCTTATGCTCAAATAGATTTGTTAGTCTCTAAGGTGCCACAAGTACTCCTTTTCTCATGGTCTTTAAGACATCATTATTATGTGCATGCTCAGGGAATACAGTATGGAGCTGTATCAAGAAAAATTCTCTCATATCGTGCTTTGCATCTTCAGAACAATTAATTCTCAAAACACTGGGAGATAGGTAAATGATACTGCCCCCATTGTGCAGGTAGGGTAAAACACGGAAACAGGAAATTAGGGATTTGCCTAAGGATACTCTGCAAGTCACTAACAGAGCCACAATCAGAACTGATGTGGTCCTGGTGCCCAGCCCTGCACTCATTCTAGTAGGCTGCAGTGTCTTCTCTATCATAGAACAATACAAGTGATAATGAGTTTCAGAAGAAATAAGGAGGATGTTGAATATTTCCTTTTTACACATTTCATGTTCCCGTGCATCACACAATACTGGTAATGTTAAATAAAATTCCATTCATTTTTTTAAAAGAAAACTTTACAGGACACCACAATTCAGGATGCTATTACTGATTTTTTATTTTTATAATTATAAATGGCCAAAATGGTTTGGTTTTAGTCAGTCTCTACACAGGTGTAAACCCCACTGATTTAAGTTGGAGTTTTTCATAGGTAAGGACTGAGTATAAACTGAGTCTCTAGTTTTGTATCAGGTTCCATTGGCATGCATCCCTGCACCCAGGCAAAATCTGGTGCATTGAGGTTTGCTTGAGTAGATACCAGTGAGGGATAGGAGCTTAAGACTTAGGAATTTGGCCCATGCAGGTTATGATATGTTTGTTCTCCAGTAAATACAACATAACTCATATATTTGTGTGTATTGAATATATTGTTCTTTTCTTCTTCCTCAGCAACGTTCTACTGTGGCCTCTATGATGCACAGGCAGGAGACTGTAGATTGCTTGAAGAAATTCAATGCAAGAAGAAAACTAAAGGTAAGAAAGACAATTTCTTCAGGGGCATTTTAGTAGCAGGTAATTTTTGAAGGGTAAAAGGATACAGTGACATATATTCCATGTAGAGGATAACCATTCCTTAAAGGGATTTTATGGAGAATATTAACTATCTTGCGAACGCTTAAAAACAAGTTTATATAAACAAACGTCAGGCTTGGATCTTTAAATAAGTACAGCCATGTGAACTGTGCTGCAGTGCTTAATAAACAACATACGATTGAGCTCTGCATGCATTTCCAGCAGCATTTGTACTGCTTTTAAGATACAATTAATATAAATATCATCTACATACCTCTTTGGAATCAGGATGATAGTGATGACCCTCCATTTTAAAATCACGGGCATTTCTCCCTTTAGATAAAGGAAAACCTCCCTTAGTTGGTTGTGGTCATGTATGTTACATATAAACCCCCAGTTGAACACAACTCATCCCAAGCAACTGAAGTAAGGGTCTGGGTTCTACTTCCAGTGTCATATGTGTGCAATTTAATTGATGACAAATATCCCTGTGTGTGCACATACATTTGTGGCAAGACTTGTTCTGACAGCTCAGTAACTATTCGGGGATTTATGATAGGTAATAGCTTTAAGAATAAGCTACAGTTTCTCCATTCCCAATGTACTCCACCTTATGCCAAATAATTCATAGAAAATCTATCATTCCAGAGTTGACCTCGATAGTCAAATGATTTATGATTAAGCATATTTGCCTTTTTGGTCTATTCATGCTCAGAGCTATGCGTAAATAATGCTAATTTGAGTTAACATATGTGTACACAGGGGGCCATTCTGACAACTATGCTGGCTACCAGAAATTTCTCAGGTATGTATATTGAGCTCCAAATCCTTATGTTCTTTACATTTTGGTATCTGCTTAATGCAACCAGGCCTAATGAGAATTAGTTTTGTACAGTAAAGCTCTTTGCTACTGTGGAGTATGTAAAGTATAGTGTATTAAAGTTATTTCTTTTTTGGAGTGATCAGAGCAAAAATTACTCGCTGCTGTAGATTAAACTAAAAGGGTCATATTGAGCCTTTTGTAAGGTACAGGTGGTAGTTGGAATAATTTGGTGCACTGTCTGTTTGTTTCCCTTATTGTGAAGGGGGACTTTTTTTCGTTCTTATTTGTACAATCCTATGAAAGAGACCAGAAAATATTCCAGGTAGGAAGAGAAAAATAGCTAATGCTAAGGATAAATGTGCAAATTGAAATATGGTCAAAGAATAATATTTTAAAAGTTAAATTACATAGTAGAAGAGCATTTGAATACGCAAATCTAAAATACATTTTTAAACTTTACAGACATAAGTTTTTATGTTCTTACCTTATATAAAAAGCGACCTTATAGTACATATTTTACTACTTTTCTAGTAATATATCAAATCAAGTTTACCTCTAATACCATTCCTATGTGTTTGGGTTTCTTAATACTAATAAACACATGAAAGTTCTTCACTCTTTTACTTCTGCCTCATTCTCAAGCATCATGTTATAGCAACATAAGAGTACATTTCTGCCTATGAAATAACAGCTGTGCTCTTGGTGTTTACAGTAATCAAACTCTAATGCTGAAGACCCAAGGTGTTTATTAGCCCAGGGCACCATTATAATTATGTCTTAATTAGGAACACGCTCAAAATATTGTGATGCTTAAATTTATAGTTACATATTTAAAGTTTTTCAATGAAGGAGAAAAGAAAAAATACCAAAATTAAAATAGCTATACATTTCTGAAAGGGAAATTTGTAAAAGTGTTAAAGCCTTTCTTTCCCTTCATTCCTCCGATTTCCTAAACTTCTCTGCCTTCTCATTTTCTTCCTTCCCCTGACCATCTACTCCCCTCCCTGCTGATAAGCCAAAGGCTTGTCCCCCAAATAGCTATGATATATTTTTGTTTACATTGTGTTTCAATTCTTATTTGGAAGGGAGGAGCTGGGAATCTCCCAATGTAAACCTCAATATTTGAGAATTATTCTGACAACCTTTATCCTAACCAGACATTGATAATGCATATAAGACACCCACAAACAAGAATTCAGGCAATTGAATAACATAGGGTGAATTCTGCAGTGACTTTGCAGCATCCTGTCTTTGTCTGAGATAATTCTGTTGCAATATATTTAATTAACAGGTAAAAATGCTATAGTGCATTGGGCATGTTTTGAAGAATAATAAGTGTCAAAGCATCTGAAATAAACAAGCTACAGCAGGATGCAAGTGAGACCAATTGGTCCAATCTGTTTGGTGCTTGGAATATACCGTGCCCTTCTTTGTTAGGTTCCCCTATTTAATATACAATTGTAACATGTAAAACCATCTTTGGGGATTGTAAATTATATTTGGTTAATGTTTAATGAATTGCCAGTAACTTTCAATTTCCTTTAAGAGTTGAACAGAAATGCTGTAGTCGAAGACTGAGTATCTTGTCAAAAATGGATTATCTTAAAACATGAAGCACGTGTATCATTTGTAATCATTCTCCATAATCATTGTTTCACATACATCATATGTAAGGTCTAACACCTCTGAAGAACAAGAATGTCATCGTCCTTTAAAAATATTATTTCAGAATGTCTCAGCATGGTGATCAAAGACTTTTTCATCCATCATTTCAGTGGTTAATTTAAGACATACCTGCACTTGAGATGACATTTTAGTTTTTGAGTTATTTATTCATTGAATTTCATTGAAAGCATGCTTTTCAAGGTTATTTGTCCATAACAATGTGTTTATAAAAGTGTTTTATTTTTCCTTTTCTTTCTTCCTTTTATGTGGAATGTGTGTTTCTTGTGAGGTAAGACCCTCAGCAACTGAAAGAAACATCTTTTTTGTATCTCCTAAGCAAAATTGCCATCTGCCCTGAACCACACTAATCTCTGCATGTTGTCACAATTCCATTTCTTCTCAGTTTGCTTTCTGGCTTATTAGCAGTGCCTTAGGATTTATTTATAACAATTGCTTTTTAGTTGTGGGAAATCAGCATGGTCAAATTCTTCATTGTTAGCTTACTTTAGAATATGCTTTGCTACTGTAGTTTTTGATTCACATACAGTGTCCTTGCTTACACAAAATGCTTTTAAATAGTATTAGAATTATATCACAAGCCAACAAAAAAGGCAAAAGATTCATAGCTAAAGATGGTGCTAACACTTCTTTAAATAGTTGTGTGTGGTTATTGCAGTATGCAAAGTACAGGGTATATACTACGCTTGTTCTGGGCACGGAGCTCCTGTTAATGTACAGGACTGAAGCATAGAATATGTCCCATAATATGAGATATCACATACCAGTCTCATGCAAGAAACCGTTCAAGGGACACATCCCCTTACACCCTAGCAATCCTACAGGCACAATGGGAGGAGTAATGGCTATTACAACCTTCATTATGACTCTTTTGTTGTTTGTTTTATTTAATTTTTATTTTAAAAAATTAATGTTTCGGAAACATGTAAAAGATTTTAAACATAAAACATAACATTGGAAGGATGTAGTTCATATTATGACAAGCAACTTATAAGAATTAATATTTTTCAGTAGGTGTTTTTTTTTAGTTCTAGGAGAATAAAATAACCTGTAAAGCCAATAAACTTCTAATTTTCTTTGCTTTCCTGTAGCTTGAAAACAGCCATTTTCTGCTAAATTAGTTTAAGAATTTGATGCTCTTTCTATCTGATTAATTGTACAGTGGTAGAGCCTCAAACTCAATCAAGACTCAAGGCTGATTGTGCTAGGTGCTGTGCCTACATTTAACAAAAAGGCAGTCTTTAGTCCAAAGAGTTTAAAGTAAAACAGCAGCATAGTTTAAATATAACATATGCTTTTCACATATAAAAATGTTCTGCGTTACTCTTCCTTAGCACAGGTGGAAATATTTTGTGTCAACTTTAGCTTGAAATAAATTTTTATGAATGAAATTTTTCTGCTCCTGAAAAATAGGGGTTTATGATGGGCAGCAGAGACACAGTCTTAACAGAGGTCTGAGTGGATCTGCTATCCTAATTGATAAAGTGCATTTTGAGGAGTTTTACTAGATTATAGAAGATAACCTTAACTTCAGCTCTAGCTGAAGTTCTAGTATCCTTTTAACAAATGTGAAAGACACTTTAATGAAGATCTGTTCTTTTCTGCACAGTTCTATGGTTATATAGTCCATCATGTCTACAGTAGAACCATAATAATATGAGCACTTGATGCAGACACAGCAGGTGAATAAGACATGGACACAGAAATGTAGATGAAGCAGAAGCTTTATCTTCATTAACTTAACCCAGAGAAATGGTGGTACCCTAGAAAACAGGCTGAAACTAGACTAATGCAGTTCCCAACAGAATAAGCCCTCCTTCCGCCAGTCAAATAAAGGGGCCTGTGATCCCTGCTATCCTTCTTCATGTTCAGGATAAGGGTCCAGATGAGTAATGCTTCGAGCTGTGTAAGACAGCGAAGCCAACTTCCATGCCCATCAACACCAAGAGTCAGGTCCAAAGTCTTCCAAACCCTCCATTTCTTTGCACTTTTGTCCTCAGCAACTGCCTCTCTGTGTAACAAGGAGAAATGGCTGCAAACTCCCCTTTAAACATTTGTGGACAAATGGAAGCCCAATGGCTTACCCACAGCCATTTAGTCACTTGATGTCACCACCATCTGTAACAGCATGGACAAGACCTAGAGGTTGTGACTCCCAACTCACCTCTGCAGCCTTCAGCTCTTCTTCTGTTCCTCCTCATCGGTATCTTGCTATGTGAAGAGGGCACTAAGAGTTGATCACCTGGCTCCAGAAGTAGTACTAAATACTCCAAATCAAAGGAACAGGGGAGTCAGTAATGTGTCTTTGTATCCACTGAACTAGGTGAACAATCAAGACTAATATACAGGCTAATATTACAGGCTGGGGTTCATGGCTGGGGTTCATGGCCAGTTCCAACCCCTATATTCCTCTCCACTCCATATTACAGGCTGGGGTTCATGGCTGGGGTTCATGGCCAGTTCCAACCCCTATATTCCTCTCCACTCCATATTACAGGCTGGGGTTCATGGCCAGTTCCAACCCCTATATTCCTCTCCACTCCACCATAACCCTGCATAGATCACAGGCTAACCCTAGGAGTCAAGGCGGTCTAGGGTCTCTCTCCGCTGGTTTGGCTTGGCCACAGCCCCAACAGCAAAGTGGGCATTTGTATCTATCACAAAAAAGCTAATCTATCCCCATTTCTGAGCAAAAATGTAATAGTAAAATGCTATCATTTTTACAAAATACAGTGGAATCACAATTAGCCGATCTACCTGCGACCAGGGCCAGATTGGATAACCAAAAATCTACATAAACTGGGGAATGGGTGGCAGGGCTCCAGCTGTGATCCCTGGGCAGCAGGGCTCTGACTGTCAGCACAACAGGCAGGAGCCCCAGCCTCCCAGGGCTCCAGCCCAAGTCCTACCGCTGTCAGCGCTGGGCAACTGGTGGTTCAGTTAATACAGAGAGCCGCATAATGGAGGCTCGGTTAAATGGGGTTCTGCTGTATTCTACAATGTATTTTCTAGGAGTCCATATTCACTTATAAATAAAGCAAAATATTAAATGACAGTGATTTGTTATTCTTGATATTTTTGGCTGTGACCCTGCAAGCGTTTACCCATGTGAATAATTCACTTGAATTCAGTTCATCTACTCATACAGTTAGAGTTATATGCTTACACCTTTGCCAATTCAGGGCTTTTGTGTGTTTGCTTACACGCTAATGCACACATTTGAGAAACTTGTAGTAGGTCTCTCAATGTGAAATAATGAGATGCTACTGGATGTGGCAGTGTTTAGTGCCTAATGCAGCTCAGTATAGATCTTGACAAAATCCAGGTAGCAAATCTAAGAAAAGTGGTACTGCAGCCTTATGTCCAGTAGTTTGGAATTTCTCAAATGCTGTAAATATTCCATTTCCTAAATGTAAAGCAGCAGAGGGAGGAACTAAAAACAGAAAATGCTTGCTTTGCTTCAAACCTGATGGAGTTTATTGATAACCAGCTGACATTGAATTTATTCTCTCATTTTACAGCAGCAAAAAGTTTACTGAAAAAACCTGATGGAGTCAAGGTAAGTTAAACAAATGCACCAAACTATACATCTCATTCAGCTTTCTTTTCCTTGTACTCTTCTAACGTCTATTGACTTTGCGATTGGAAATAACTACATCTCTTCTTCATAGGTTGTGTTAAGAAATGGTTCTCACTGTATATTTGAAGAAGTTGAAGTTAGTTTAAGTTCAAAATAATGTGTCAGAAAAGAAATAGCTGAAAAACTGTACCATGTTTTAAATAAGGTTCTGAAAAATGCTGACAAGGGAATATATTCCTTGCTTTTTAATAAAAGCTAGTCCAGTCGTTAGTGACTCACTGTATTTTTAGCTGCTTAATATAAATGAGACTTTGGTCGTGGGTATGTAAGCTTGATGGAACGTCAGAAGCTTACTAGAAGCCCCACATGAGGTACATTCCACCAGGTGTACTTGGTGTGTTTGGCAGAAGTCCGGGTGTTTAAGATTTCACTGAATAAGCTCATCCTGACTAATAGACCTTGGTAAGAATGGGAACATTCTGGCAACTTTCATAGATTATTTAGAGTTCCTATTTTCATATCACCAGGTCCCGCAGGAGGAGAGATGCTTCACAAATGAATGTTCTAGACAGATACTTTGAAAAATAGCCAGGAAAAAAATCACTGAGCATTGAAAAATGTTGTATTTCTTTTTCTCAGAGGATTCCTGAAGACTAAATAAAGCACCCCAGCTTTCCGTAGATAATGTAAAGTTTCTTCTCTTCTCAGTTCTGCCTCTTTCTCAGGAGCGTCTTTGGCCTGAATTTTAGTTTTCTGCTTAAACTTTCTTTTCTTTAACAGAGTGCTACTTACTGAAATACTCAGTTCACAGCAGATTTGTTCTTTACTTATTCTCGCACACGTATTCTTTCACACTTAAAAATGTTAAGGCTCTTAAAATGAATTCAGTATACTCTAACCTGAATGTTACCCAAAGTCAAATAATGGGCATCTTAGAGAGGATGAAGAAGCACATCATTCTGTATTATTCGGTCATTGCAATACAGATTCCTTAACACGTCTTTGTGGAATGCGGGAATTTTATGTGTTCGGGTCAGGCTAGTATTTTTATAAATACCATTCTTCCTACAGGTTTATAATGGCATCTGCTGTATCTCCATTTTGATAGCAACGTTGCTGAGAATTTTCGTCAATGGTTTGCTAATATTACACTCGTTGGGATCTCATACTTCCGGTTTTCAGGATATTTCAGTTTTTTACCATTTTCCTGCTCAGTTATGTGAAGCAAGGGGGGAAATGTTTACCTGCGTGGGAGTCTTTGTTTTCAGCATTTTTCTCATGTAGAAACTTCCCCGCACAAAAAAAGTATTTCCTTCTCTACCGCAGCTTATGCTGTCTTTTTGAAAACAAAAATATGCTGTACTCCATGCATTGATATTTTCAATCCAACCAGTCACATTTTCTTCTTTTCCTTTTCTCTCTGACTGGTCAATTCAGAAAAGGAAGTCCAGTTCGAGTGTTCAAATGATGGTGAGGATCTTTATCTGCCAGATTTTTCCTCCTGTGAAACATTCACACTTAGAAATCAAATAAATGCATTTAATCTGTTAACATAACTTGAGAAGCTACAAGACCTTTAACATGAAAACTTGTGACTTCTAAACCAAGAAGTGCTACGTGCCATCTGTAATGAATTGTTCCGCAATTCTTTAAAGCAAGATTTTTAGCTATAGAAATATAAATACAAAAAAGTAGATGTAACATTGGCCAATGCAGCTGTCTTTAGTACACTTAAAAAAAAAAAGTATTCGTTTAAACAGTCTTCTATTAATTTCTTAATCTCCTTGTATTAAAAACTAATAACATTAAAATAATAAATGGATAATAATAAGTGTAATGGAGACATTACCCTCTGTGTAGTTACTTACATAGAAACTTAAAAAAAATTAAAAATTTCAATACTTGGGAAATCGCTAGAGCTTTTACCATATAGTATGAATACGGTTCAACATCAGGAATCCATTAAGAGACACCTCTGTACTCCTGCTGCCCCCTCTGTAATAAATAAATAAATAAATAAATTCACTGCAAGATCCACTTTTATTGATTCCAGCTATAACTGAGCAGATATCCAGTATTTAGGACATTTTAAGGTGATTTTCAAAACCCCGCTTTGTATATTTTTATTATCCCTTGAAATCAAATAACAAATGGAAGGATGGCTGTTTATTTTCTTTTTGGGGATGTTGTACTTTTAGAATCAAATAATAAGGTTTTTCTAAGCGTGTTAGTGTCATTTGACTCACATCAGGATGTCAAGCTACAACCACAGGCCACAGCAGACATGCCGCCTTCCTTCTCTTCTCCAGACCCCCAACCAGTCCCATTCCTAGTCCAAGACCTTCTCAACCTCTAACTCAGATCCCCCATTTGAGAACCAATACATAGACTCCCTTCCCCCAGCACCAGGGTCCTCAGGCAGGCAGTGACCATCCTCCTGTTTAACTGGCATTGATCCTGAATTCTGGGATGATGGTGGTGATCCTGGCAAGGCAGCTTACTCAACTGTGACACTTCACCATGCCTCTGTACTGCTGATCCAGGTAGAGCAGAGCAAATGTTCCACTTTCTCCAACTGGTCACTCTGTCACGGGCAAGCAGACCTCCCCTTGAAAATACCTGTCTGGTAAATGGCCTATATCATCTAGCTGGATTCAGTGTTTCATGCAAGAGCACAGTTCATTTTAATACAAAAGTACAGGCCATTTACCAGATATGTTGGGATATTTTCAGCATCCCAAACACACCGCGTGCCAGCTCTTAGTCTGCTGAAACACTACATAGGATGCTTGGAGGATTTAGATCCCGAGAGACAGTTTTGTACAATTTTTATAAAATATATAAAAAACATTAATACTTAGGACAGTATGGCCCTGCCCAACTGTTTGCTCTGAGAGAGAGAGAGAAAAAGAGATGCTATAAAGTTAAAAGCTGTTTCACAGCAACCAAATTTTAGTAGAAAAAGTTTTCCTTCCTGACAACAAATAGAAGTACACCAATTTAGAATAATTTTCCATAATCACTTAATCATTTGGTATGAAAATGCTGAATTTGTTTTTAATAGTTTCCCCTTTCTGTTAAAATAAACGCAGTAAATGTGATTTAAAACCTACCATTTTTCTTTAAGTTTGGAAGTATTTAGCCAAGCTGTGCTCATACTGACGAAATAACTTGACTATGCAATATATTCTCTTTTTCATTTGTACTAATGTAAATTCTGTATTCTTGATGTACCATTAATAAGTTTGAGTATATATTCTTTAGTTCTTGATGGTAGTGGAATGAATGTTGTTGTTTATTTTTTATAGGATTTTGACCAGGGGAGTGTGGGCTCAATGCTGCTCTCCTTACTCAGGCAAAATTCTCTCTGAAATTTGGTTATCCTTTGTCTGTTACATGTTCCATGACAAGCGCTTCTATGGTGTGTTGTTTGATTTCTGATGTTGCTGATTAGGACTGTAAGAAGTCTGTTGAAACTTTCATTCCCTCTCTCATATATGCTTTGTATGTGTTCATTTCTTCTTTCTTTTGCTCTTTGAATACTTCTCTCTTGATGGCCAAACTGTTAGTGAATATTCATTTTTAGTTGTAAAACTTGGGAGAGTGATTTTTCTCTTGTTACAAGAGAAAAAGAATATGATTGTCCATGGTTGTCTGTATTGTTGTTGTTCCATAATCTATGTAGTCTTATTTTAAAAAAATAACATTTCCTTGAATTCAGTGGGTTTTTTTCCCTGAGTAAGGAATGCAGGTAGTACATTTTCTATCATTAATTGTTCCTTACTAAACCCCTGTAAGGTAGTTAAGTGCTGGCCGAGATTGTCCCTAACGTAGATACACTGCCCTGCTTGGCATGTGTCTTTCAATATCTTAGAGGATAAATTGAAATCCAGTGCAAGCCCATTTTGCACCAGAGCAATGTGTCCGTGTTAGGGATTTCCATCATCTTAACTACATGGATGTAGTTACAGTAGAACAGAGTTCCCCAGTCTAGACATGTCCTAACTAAGACATTGGCTTTGCTTCAGATTTGCTCTGATTCCAGCAACTGATGGGCAGCCACCAATGCAAACACCTCAGGTGAAATCCTGGCACAATTAAAATCAATGCTACAGCAGCTTCCGTTGATTTCAGTGGGGTCATGATTTCGCCCCTAGGGCACATTTGCCCAAATAAAGCTTACTCAGCAGCTTTATCAGTCTGTACTAGGGATTGCACCAGTGCAGAGGTAGAATTGGGGAAAATCTGAAGTGTAGACATGACCTAAATATCATTATCCCCATCTCACAAAGAGGTTAAGTGATTTACCTAAGGCCATGGAGGGATTGATGAGCTCAAATTAGAACTCGGAAATTCCTGGCTCTCAGTCCAGTGCTTAAACCATTAGGCTAGGGCTAGGCCAATATATGTCATTACACACTCTGGTAAATATTATTCAGGTCTTCAACATTTAGATTTCCTAAAGACTTTTATATAAAAAATATCAACAGCCTGACTGACACAAAGGGCTTGACTTTTGGTTTTTAAATGTGGTAGTTAATTTTACTTTAATATTGACAAAATGTCCATCAGTGAAAGAAGAGAAGTCTGAATTTGCATTATTGCATTTCTTTCCCATGTAATGTTTACATTTTCAGTACCAGAGTACTAACACAGCAGAGCTGTAGAGATTCTATACCACTGACGGGTAGAAATGATGCCAACCCTGTGTGCAGACAGCCCACCTTACATTTTGCTTCTTTGATCTGCTGCTGTTATAAGTAGAACTGGTCAAAAATATTTTTAAAAAATCCTAGTAATTTTAATTGAAAATAGTTTGACAGCATCAGAGTCCAACAAGCTTTCGTTATAATTGAAACCAGCTTTCCAGTGGGTATGAAAACTTTATTTGGGGCTTGATTTTTAAAATCTTTCCAGTTTTACAACCACAGTGATATTTACCTGGTGCAGTTATGGAAGGTGGATTTTAAAAATGGGTATAAGAATCAGAGAAATTTAAATTAATTGCTAAAGTCTTACTTAAAGAGAGAGCGAGACAGAAAGAGAGAGAGAATAATATTTTTTAAACAAATAAAAGCCCAGTTCTTCAAAGACTTGCGTTTTTGTAGTCATTGAGACTACTCCCATAGATAACTTTGCAGGATCAGGGCCAAAAGTAGTAATGTTGAGAAGCTACAGTACAGGAAGTTACACTCTTAATTTGGGTTCTGTGGACTGAAAGGCCAATGTACAGTAAACGAAAGGTATTACTGCAGGTTCAGCCAGATTGGAAAGGTTTTTCAAAACAAACAAATTAGTTTATTTCATTAAATGAAAACGAAACATATACGTTTTTCATTTGAAATACTAAACGCTTGTTTGAAAAAAATCTCAAAGTGAATGTACCTGTACATATTCTGACCTCAATGACACCCATATAAATCTCGAGTTACCAATTACAGATTTATATGGGTGTAAATGACACATAAATTTGAACCACTGAAGCTTCCTTCCGTGAAAAACAAAATGACGTTTAACCTAGTGACACCCTCCTAGAAATAAAGTGAAATGATGGTATATTACTTAACACTGTTGCATGATCTAAACTGGCAAATAAATCACAATGGAAATACAGGCATTTTCTTTCTAAAATCCATATTAATTGTGAATTCCTATTATTTGGTTGTAGCCCACTATTAAAAAATTCTTCATTCATTTACGTGTCAGAGCTGAAACTGCCTATGCTCTATATAGGACTTCCTTGAACAAGTCCAAAATACTGTCACTAGCGTCTTTGGGAGAAGCTATAGCCAGTTATCAAATCTGTTGTCAGTGTTTTTTTCAAGTTCATAAGTTGACCTTTCTGTGATTCTTTATTTCCCTATCTATATCTGTATATAGATATTCTATATAGAGAGATATAGATATGCTAGCTACCAAGAATTCTAAGGCTTGTCTATTTCTATTTTCTGCATACCTACAGATAAACAACAAAACCAACGTGGTAACCAGCCCCAAAGAAAATATTCCTACCCCGGCGCTGGTATACCTGGAATCTTCCTTTTCACCCTATCTTTAAGTTCTTTACTGTTTTCTTTGGGGTTTTTTGTTTGTTTTTGCTTTTATTCTTTGTTTGCTTTATAAATTTTTTTCTCTTTCTTGTTGTTTGTACTTTTTGTTTTCTTTTTGTGAGGAAGTCCATTGTGAAGCAACATTTTTATAAATAGAAAACGTGACACAAAAGCTGGATGTGGTGGTGTAGCAGCATTAGTAGCGATAGTTTAATTTTTTGCATGCCGTGTAAGAAAGTGAATAGAATGCGCTTGATGTTGCCCTTAGCTCTTCACCTGATGGTTGTTTCCATGCTTTTAAGTGCTGACTTATTTTTTAAATTGTACCTGTTATCTTTTCTTCTGCCTTAACACAAGTTTTGATATCAAGGAGAGCTAACAGGACTATTGCTAGGCAACAACAATATAGACCTTATTCAGATTTTCATTCCCCCTATTCTCTGACAACCCAGCAGGACTTTGCAAGGCTTCACTTACTGGTATCAAAAGGCACCTTAGTCCTATAAAGCTTTTTGAATAGTGCCATTTTAAATCTACAGTAAGCATTACTCTGTAATAAGTTCTGCTAGGGGAATATTACTAAACAGTAGGACAGCGTACATGAAGATTCTATGTCAGAATCTTGCTTCTGTTATTAAGTCACATTTCTTAAGATGGAGGAAGGCTTACGAACACAAATGCTGCTATTTAATTACCTAAATTTAAGCAGTATTACTTCTCATGTATTTTGGTACATAGCTCTGAAGAAATGCTTCTGCTCTTTAATATAAACATAAGGACAAATTCTGCCATAGATTTGCATGCGCAGCTCCCATGGAAGCCTGCATTAAGTCAAGTCATTTCAGAGCAGTAGTTTAAAGGTTTCATGGTATGTACATGAGTCCTCAACTCCATCAGGTTCCCAGGCTTCTGTGAGTACGTTAAAAAGCTACACTTGCTGCAGCTTGTTCTGGGCCAGCTAACTGACATTTTAAGGGAAGCAAGAGGGGAGTTAACCTTTGAAATGGTATCAAGAACTTCCATCATAATTGGTATCTATGCTATTCAAATGGGCAACAGACTGGAAATAACCCCTGTACATCCAAACACCGTTTGTGTTTAGAGGTACCCAAATCTTTCAGAATCTGTTCAGCCCATCTTTATTTTGATTTGTGTTCATTTTTGCTTTAGTAATAAGCGTACAGTATTTTTTTAATTAAAATAGTTCACCAATTTTGAGCTAAAGCAGGGTCAGACAAAAAGGGACAATGTATCTGATATGAGACATTGTGAAACAGAGTGCCTCTTCAGCTGACCTCCCCAGAGCTTCAAAGCCCTGTGTGTGTGTTGATCATGAATAAGGTCTTTGCATGCCGCTGCAGTAGGTGAGGTAACCTCCCTTGCTGGGTTGCCAGTCGAAGAATCTTTATTAGAGACATTGTTTCATTTTTTGGCAGCAGTTAACATTTGCTTTAGCTCTTGTCACTGTTTAGCATTTGTCTGCTGGCTCTTCTCGCGCTCCCTCACACTAATGTGAATGTATTTACCAATGAGAACTGTTTTTCTCTTTATTTTGTTCTCACTCAGGAGCCCCAAACTACAGTAATCCACAACCCTGATGGAAATAAGGTATTCAGAAAGAATTAGCTCCATCTTGCTTCTCCAAAGTGCACATTTCATCCACTATTCTAAGCCAGAATGTGCCCATTACCCAGAGCTTAGCAAGGAAAATCTCATTCCTGTATCTGTTGCACCTGGTGCCTCTTGGGCCTAATTCATCTGTGGCTTGTTCCCACTGAATGCTTTCTGCCTGGCTGCTGGCTCCCTCAGCTCCTGTGGATGTCTGTAGGCGGTGAGGGCGCTCAGCACCCTGAGGAACCAGGTTTATGGTGTGTTGTACATCTCTTGCTTCAGGCAAGAACTTTCAGTTCTCAGAAAAACAAAGGAACATTGTATTCAGACACAGAGTATAGTAAGGTTATTTTTACGATTTTTATTTTTACGATCTAGTGAAAGCTTCATACACAAGATGAAGGCATATTTTGAGCTCTTTCCATCAGCTGTTTCTCAGCATGCTTATGCATCATACTGTGACATGTCTTCTGCATGGAACTTTTGACTTATTCCATAACATCATCTTGCAGTTTGAAAAGAAGCTAACACTTGAAGTGGCAAGAAGCTCTTTTGAATTCATAAATCTTGATTTGATTTTTCTCATTTATTTTCTTCTGTGTGCTGTGATGGTTGTGTTTGATGTCTGGTTTCTATAACGTGTGGTAATTTTTTCTCCCTATGTGGACTTGAAAGGGGCTAGGGAATATTGTTGTTTGTGATTCATGTTCCTAGTTTTCATATGCAGATTTCACTTATTTAAACAGATTTTAATGTGTGTGCTGAGAATTTAAAGTTTCCAAAGGATTGTTGTCACATTTATCTAGTGTAATTACTTGTGGTCGCTCAATACTGTATTTTCAAAGGATAGAGTCTGAGTGGAAAATATCAGATGCAGGCATTTCACAAGCATGGAAAAAGTGTTAATTGTGCATATTGTAGTCATCTCGCTTCTTCGTTTGATTATTTATTTTATAGTTTGTGGGTAAGAATAAGTTGTGATGTTCATTTCACTACTGTACCAACTACTCTCTGCACCCATGGTCCATATTTCATCTCCCATGTTTTATTAATAGGCAGTGTACCGCCAGCATTTTAATTTTAGTCAAATCTTTACTAAAGCCCAGCAAAGGGAAACAAAAAAACAAAACACTGGAGCTCTTTGGCATGACTACATCTACTTGACATTATTATATATTCATAGCAATTTAGATATTTTATGTCCCAAAAAGTTATAACATGGACAGGAAAACTACTTATGGGGAAAGTTACTGTTAAATTTCATTATCTAAAAAAACAAATATTTTAGCATGACAACTGGAGTGGATGCTTCCATATTACTGGCCACATCTCTCTTGTGAGCTTGTGCATGACATTTCCTGCTTGTATGTGTGTGGTTTTTATTTTCTTCTAGGTACTATATATGATAGAGCATGGTATGTCCCTTATGTGGAGTGAATAGTCTAACACCATTCACAATAGGAAAAGCATGATGGTTTATTAAGCTTGGTTTGTATGTGTGGATTGATTAGTGTAGTTGATTTATTGCTGCATATAATTTTGTTCTTTTACATTTGAATAATGCATTAACCATTCTGAAACTTTTCTTTGACTTGTCTTGTGAAATCGTAGTAGACAAAAGGACACTGTCAGGGTATTTTGGAATTTTTATTTAATTAATGTGGATAGTAACCCTTCGGAAGCTTGAAATAAATCTTATGTTTTTCCCTTCTGTCTCAGAGGTAAACTGGCTTGTTATGGATATTTTTACTCTTGAGTATTTTGCTTCTGACTTTTTCTTTTTCTTTTTTTTTTATTTGCAACAAAGCATTTATTTTTAAAAATCATAAAAAGTATATCTTCTGCAAAAAAAAAATTAGGAGAAAAAGAGTAGGTCAAATTTTTTGCCTACTACCTTTGACATTGTCCTTTGAAGTGTGCTTCCTAATTTTTCACATTTCTAATATCTTATAAAAAGTGTGATAAGAGCCTTGCCTTTTAACATTGCAAAGATTTCAATACAACTGTCTGATGGACAAGTCATTCCTCTGTGTGGCTGGTTGGTTAAAGAATATTTCTTCAAAGATATCTTAGATTATCTAGGAGCATTGTTGTGGGCCTCTCCAGTAACTTGCTCTCTCTTTCAAATTTTTTAGCACAAGGAGAGTATAAAAATGCAATCATGGATTTGATTCAATTCTTATTGAAATCAAGGGGAGCCTTTCAGTTTATTGCATGAGTTCTTATATGAGCAGAAGAAGTACTTTAAATTGTGAAATACAACATTCTGCTTACTTTATACTTAAAAGCTCAAATGGAATGACTTGTTTTACACAGTTGATATTCACGAAGCTTAAAATGGCGAGTTCTAATATTTGGCTGACGTAATTCATATAACAGTTCAGACATACTCTGTCTAGTAGAATGTAAAAAAACCCAACAGGTTAACTCATTTTCATGAAGATATTTATTTCCCCATACATCTGTGTGACATTCAAAAACTGGACAGCCAGAAATACGTTTAATAAAAATGTTCCCTTTTGAAATGGATGAAAATTGACATTTAGTTTCAGGTACAAACATCTCAATCCCTGTGGCCATTTGTTTGTGAATTACATCCACATAGCCTGCTTCAAGGCTTTGCATGATCTGTACAATACCAAGTGTAATTTTCATAGGTGCATGAATAATATGCTGGGTCACTTTATGCATTTCACTTGTATTTACTTCTTAACAGGAGTCAACAGAAAGTTCCAATACGACTATTGAAGACGAAGATGTGAAAGGTATGATTGACAGTTGGAAAGGCAAAACCATGGCTACATGCATATATTTCAGTAGGTTTTATTAACTTTTGTTGATCTGTCAGATGGAGGGAGTTCCTAAGTAATCCAAGGAGAACATACAATTATTTTTGAAAATTATGTTCATTGCTGAAGTTCTATATGTTAAGTTCTGACTTGGATAATCTGACTTCGATAGTCTAAATTTTACGTGTACCGTTTCTGTAGTATTTTACAATTAAGGAAGTTTGTCATTTAAAATTATAATTATGGCAGTAGTAGGTGTAGATTTAAAAACTAATGACATTTAATATTATTTTAAATTTCATTTTGTATATGGTACTTTGAATTTTTTTGTTTGCTTGCTTTAATTATTGTGTTTTTAATGCATTTTTTCAGATCAGCATTTATAAAACATTTCTGTTCAGATGCCAGTGTTTTTTTGTGCTTCTGTTGTATTCTGGCCCTATAATTGTCTTAACCTCAGTCACCTTTTTCTTTTCTTTTTGATTTTCTGCACAATAACCTTCTTAACTTTGCAATCTTTTTGATTATTTTTTAAGGTTTTTTTTCTTTTTTAAATTCTATGCTGTGACATTATTCATTCTTATTTTAATAACATTTTGTGGGTTTAAAACCAGTGTATTCAGCTTGTGTATTATATGTTTCATATAAGACATTGGTTTTTAGCTTTAAGTACAAAATTTTAGTTATAGTGGATTCACAAAACAGAAACAGGAATAAGAAGGGACATGTTGAAAAATAAGAGGTGAAGTAGTAAGAAAAAGAGAGATTTCTCAGTTAATTAACCATTAGAGTGTTGGGCTGGTTTTGCACTGTATTATACTAGAAGTGTTATGTTTGTGGGTGTCACTATTAAAGTGTTTATTTGCAGAAATATGCATTAAAGTATAGATTCTAAGATGCTGGAGTTTTCAATAGCTTCAAGACTGTGAGAGAACATTTTAGAATATGAAACTGATTCAGTGGATGCAGTTGCTCAAATTGTGTTTAGTCAACTGTTATTTTATTTCTGGATAATGGAGCAGGCAGTATCCTTGTTTGATAAAGTAATTGATGTTGCCAGAGTAAGGGACTGATAATGTAATGGTTTAGGACTCATGAGTATTTCCAAGTCAGAAATGTAATAAGAAATACAAGATAAGATAATTCTTTAGTAGGACACTCCATTGTTTATGAGCTGGCATTCAAATGAACATCAGTAACCTGGTGATATCCTATATATTGTCTTTTTTAGACAGAGTTATTTTGCTTAATGAGGTGTATAGCTTCTGTTTCACTTTTATTTTGTGTGTTATAAAACCTTATCCCAGGATTCAAGTAACAATATTCTCCTGCTAAGCAGTGTTTGTATGGTTTGGTATATTATCACTTCAACAAGATCATTTATTTCAAACAGACAGATAGAAAAACCTATGTAGTCTCCAGAGAAAAACTTAGTTATAAAAAAAGAGGATGATGACAGGTCCGTCTGTACCCAGTGCCCCCACCCCTCCAGGTGCTCCAACCTTTGGGAAAAACTATTTTATCTGGATTCAAAACACACCTTCCTTAAAAATGTAATTGGAACTATCCAGCATTCACAGTTACCTGAATATATTAGGCTGAACTCAGTGAGTTACCACCCGCTGTGCAAAGCAGATGGAACTATCCAAGTTTAAGGATGCTTCTTGTCCTATCCTTTAGAACTCCCTGTTTACTTCCCCTTCCTACCACCAACACTCAGTTCACACATTCCAAAATTTCTAAGTAAATCCCAGAGAATGTGTGTGGTGCTCTTATATAACTACTCCTCTACAAGTCCCATGAAATATTTGACACTTACCTGGTGATTCCAAGGTATTTTGGTCCCTGGAAGTTCATGTGACTATGAACTCACCAGCCCAGTTCCTTTCAAACAGGTATTACCGAAAACCTCATCAGACAGGCCTAATAAACAAATGGGCAATGAAGCAGTCAAACCTTGATTTATTTTTTTCTTTTATTTAAGTAAAAGGCTATCAGAAAAACACCCAGCACAGTGTACCATCACATCTTTTGCAGCATAATCTCATTAATAATAATATTTTTGTTCCCGATTACTAAGCAAAAGAATAATGGGGAAACTATTTTTAAACAGCCAGTTAACCTAGACATTTCAAAATCAGGCACTGGAGATGATCACAGTTAAATAGCTCTATGTAATTTTGTGCAAATTCAAAAATAAGCCAGTTTGCAAGCTTTCATCCACATATTAATGTAGCTAAATATTTCACATTCTCTGCTTTGAAAGACAGCTAAACAAATTTCTCTGAAAAATACTGGTTAGTTCCAACAAACCATGCATTGCTTTTTCCTCCAAAGCAGCAGAGAGTGGAAAAGTGAGATTTAGAATTTCTTCTCAAATTTAATTGAAATTTAATTTAATGAAATGTAATTTTGGAAAGCATTGCTATTTGCAGTAAGATAAGGTTGGGGTGTTTTTGTTTTTTGATGCATGGTAGACTGTTGCTGCAGTTCCTTTGATTCCCCATTACTATAAAAAATGAATAAATTTGGAAAATATTTAGAACACTGTGGCAATGTAAATGCTTCCATTATTTCCTGCAGGTGCTTTGGATCCATTTATTGTAGTTATGTACAGGTAAATGAGCCATTAGATATGTTTAGGATTGTAAACCTTTCAGAGCAGGGATTTTCTCTAGTGTGTTTGTACAGCAGTCAGCACAACAGGACTCCAATCCCAACTGGAGCTTTTGGATGCTACTGTAGTATGGATATTTGCTATTAATATAATGTGGGTGGGGGAAAATAAACTATTCAGGATTAACCACAGATGCTGTAGAAGCTCAAAATCATATTCATAAGTATACCCTGCTCTGTTAGTTCCACTGAACAAGTTGACACTTGAAGAAACCTTTTCAGACTCAAAATGTGTGCATTAAAATGCAGTTCATTTTGCTCTTTGCCTGTGTTCAACACTTCATTGACTTTCATTTTGCTGTGCACTATTCATGGGGATGTCACAAGAAGGCAGTCCCCCAGAAGCCTGGATAATACTCACATGAGTTCCTTCTTCACCTAGGCCCAAAAGCTTGCTGTTCAAGTTCCTTAATTGATGATTCCAGGACAACTGCATCCCAAAAATGTGGCACGGGGCAAAGGTCATAGGCATTCCAAGACCAGGAAAAACCACTGGAAGATTTTAAGAGCTATGGACACATCTCTTTCTGTTGTGTTACATACAAGCTTATGATTCGGAGAGAGACTGATTCTGATGCACATCAGTGAGGTTATCAGGCCACAACTGCTCTTTGTGCAGGCTGACTTCAGACAAGGAGAATGTCAGGCAAACCTGTAGACAGACCAGGGCTGTTCACTCAGCTACACAAACTCACCCCTTCAACAGAGCCTTCAGTGACTCATCTCAGGGGCATGCTGGGGCAACTCAGCTACACTGACTTATCCCTCAAAGCCAAGCCTGCAGTGACTCATTGCTCAGGCATGCCTATCCCTGAGCAGGGCCTAGGTCAAATTACCCCCAAGGCACAGGTGTTTCCCTCTCACTGCAAGTTAGGGTATGTCTACACTGCCCACTTTACAGCGCGGCTGCAGCAGTGCTGCCAAGGCAGCACTGTGACCTGGGGAGTGTAGACACGCTTTATCACCGGGGGAGAACTCTCCCAGCAATTTAAAAAAACAAAAAAAAACAAAAAACCACCCTGAACCAACGGTAGTAGCTTTATCGCCAGGAGCCAGGCTCCCGGCAATAAAGCGCTGTCTGTACTGACGCTTTCCAGCACTAAAACTTTTGTCGCTCGGGGGTGTTTTTTCACACCCCTGAACAACTAAAGTTTTAGCGCTGAAAGTGGCAGTGTAGACACAGCCTTAATCTGTGCAACAGCACCGCTCAGCTAGGAATTCTCCTGCTGCCTCACAGTGTTACAGGCGCCCTGAGGTTCAAGCGTGCCTTCAATCCTGTCCCTGTTTCTGCCTCAGTCTTGCCCAAGCCTTGTTCCAGCGCACTTCAGACTTGTCTGTACCCTATTCCAACCTTGCTCCAGCCCTGTTTCTGACCTGCTCCAGCCATGCATCCGCCTTCTCCCTCCCAGACCGTTGGACTGACTCCAGCCCCGCTTCGACCCGCATCTGGATTCCACTATCATCCTGATTTGGCTTATCTACAGACTCTGACCCCAGTTCTTATCCATGGCCTATCCCCGGATCCTGGTTTAAGCATTGCCCTCAGCCCGGTCCTGAATCTGCATCCAGCTTTGACTCTTGGTACCTGTCCTCGACCACCACTCCAACCACCAGGCCTGACTGCCTAAAACCTAGAGCCTGACAAATGGTGCACCTAAGATCAAGTCAGTCACCTAACACATTCTGGCAGACTTGTCAACTGCAAACAACACTGTCTAGCATGTGGGGCTGACCACTAAGGTTCTGCAGACTATTTCCTGTAAGCCTATGGTGTGGTTCAAAATGGAAATGCCTCTCCTTGTCACCATAGATACTTATGACCTACCAACATGGATAGTAATCTACAAAATATTGAAGAGTGATTCAGCAAGGACATGAACTCTCTGGCTACTTAGCTCCATCAGTGGAGACTTGCACTTAGTGAGTCTTAAGAAGGTGGCCGCAACCCTCCATCTGAATAATTTCCTGGCCAATCAGCCCCTTACAGTTTGTGCTGAGGATCATTCACTCCCTTTCCAGCCAGATGTCACTAACTTAGGAGTCACATTGGACCTCAGCCTAACATACCAGCCCCATTTAGAACATGTAAAGTAAAAGATGACTTTCTGCACTGCCTTGTTCCAGAGACTAGCAGGAACCTCCTGGAAGTCGAGGCAAATGTTTTACTCACCTCAGTCCTGGGGCTGGTATTCTTGCATCAGTAGAGCAGTACGCAACAGTTTGGGGCAGAAGTTGGCAAATGCATCTCATTGTTTCAGAGATGAACACAACCACTCATATCGTTAGTGGTTGTCTTTGAC